CCCCCCCCCCCCACCCCCCCACCCCCGCCCAAGATCTTGCCAGGTGGCTTTTGTGGCCAGGTGGGCTCTGAGGGGTGCCTTACCTTCTCCTCAGCCACAGATTGCCAGATTGCCCCACCCTACTCCTTTGCTGTAGTCTCCATCCACTTTGCCTTGCCCACTGTCCATCTTGATGACTTGGTGTAAGGACAGCTGGGCTCCCTTGGAACTTCACTCATGCTCTGTACCATGGAATTTTCCCTAGCATTCTGCAGGCACTGGGGGGCCTTGGTCTAGAGCTGTCTCCCAGGATCTGCTCCAGGGTTTTCTGTACTTTGTCCAGTTTTCTGGTTGTTTAAGGCAGCATTGCATCTCCTGTCAGGGAGCAGTGCCAGGTGCGGGGCAGGTGGTGGCAGCAGGGCAGGCAGTGATTCCTGTCTGGTTTGCTGACAGATGTTAGTCGGCTGCACCTTTGGCCCATGGGATGGGCATCTTTGTGAAGTGAGGTTGAGTAGCACGTAGGGTTCATTGTTACACAGGATGGACTTAGTGTGTGAGGGCCAAGCATCTGTGAAAGCTAAAGGATGGGAGGTCACTAGAGGATGGTCTTTTCATGGCTTTTAAGAAAAAGTACTTCAGTGACAAATTCACCTCATTAACATTTTAATGCATTTTGGTACCTGAAGTTATATCTGTTGCCTGGTGGGAGTGTTTGATGTTGTTTTATGTAGTAGGAGATTTTAACTCAGAATGTTCTCATTGTTTTTTTAGGGGCCTGGGAGGAGAGCTCATGAGACAAGCAGGTAGGTCTGAGGGCAGAGGCCCCAGCCCTTCTCCTGACCATGGGGGATTATTGTCCTGAGATGTTCACATTACTCCTTTACTGTTGGCCTTACACAGTGACAGGTGGCTGTGGTTTCTTCTAGTTGGAGGTCCTGCACCATGCCTTGTTCTCTCACACCTACTCCTGTGTGTCTGACCACTCCAGTTCTCAGCTCCTGGGCTTTGCTTTGTTTCAGCAGCTGCAGGGCTGACCGGCAATGGGGTGGACGTGGTGCACTAGGGAAGCTGACTGTAAGTCTCTTCCTCTTTGACGAAGTATTTAAGGTGAATGTAATGGAGAGCAGACAGTGGTTTTTCTTAAATGTCTTCAGGGAATGCGCAGGATGCCACCATGTGTCTAGATTTCTTGCAGCCTGTTCAGCTGAACCTGCTACAAAACCCGGGCACTCACTGGCTTATCTGGGGACATGCTCCACATGCCCTGGTCAGTCCTGGCCCACAGGTGCATGGAGAGCTACCCAGGTGGAGGTGGTGAGTAGGTGTGTCCACAGGGCGCTGGCTTGGCTCATGTTGGGGTTTTTTGGAACTGTCAATGCCCTCTTCAAGTTGTTCTGCAGGCCTGGATGGCAACCCCAGGTGGGCTGTGCTCACCCTGGCTGAGGGTTGATAACTTGGAGGCTGGATGGGAGGGTTTTAGGCCCTACACTCAGAGGGCAGGCCGTTCAGCATGTGGAGACTGTGCTCCCACAGGCAGGCCTCTGCACGTCCTATCATCTTGGTGTCCTCCCTGTGGTGGGCAGTGGTGGGAAGCATCTGGAGCACAGGTTGGGTGGGACAGAGCATGGACACAGTTGGCCTTGCAGGACCTGGGTGGAGAGATGGCCCAGTCCAGGGCTAGAGAATGGAGGGCTCCTAGGACAGATCTGAAAAGTGGCACCTTGGACAGGCATCTTGACTTGGTACTTTCGTTGTCAGCTGGCTGGCACTTGCCATCTGGGAGCAGGCAGGGGGTGATGGTACCTGTGCGGGGGCACAGAGAGTCTAGCAGGGCATGCCTGTGTGCTCCATGATGCCTGTGCTGAGTACAATGGAAAGGTCATTAGCTAAGGAAAGCCAGAGTTGAACTGTCCTGAGTGACCTGTCAGAAACAGGACATGCTTGTGTCTTTCTACAGTGTCAGAATTTATTGAATAACAACAAATTTATAAACTACAGCAACTTTGTTGGTGTTAATTCACTTAGTACTACTTAAATCACTTGATAGCCTAAGCTGTTGACAACACAATTTATTTATTCCAGTCTTATTACTCATATTAGCTCTCGGGTCACACATAACACTTCACACAGTAACAATAATTAGGAAAGGGTTACAGAGGCTGCAAGGTTCAGAGGGTTGCGCAGATAAAGAGCTGGCGTAGATGCCGGCAAAGATCTGTAGGGACCAGGTGAGAAGTTCTAGGAACTGTGGGCACAGAGTGTTTTAAAGTGCAGAGTTGTCAAATGCAGGTCTGGATGGCAGGCCCTTTCCACTGTCAGTTTGACAGTGTGTCAGGCAAGGGAAACTGAGCTCGAGCTGGAGTCCAGGACAGAGGCACAGGTCCTTCGCTTTGGCAATTTTCCTAGATAAGGCTCATGATGAGTGACCTGGTGACAAGGTCAATATGCTGCCACATCTCAGTCTTTTACAGTCCCAGGTAAGGGGGTTACAGCTGATGCAATTCATGTGTCTGAGGTTTCTGATATGATTTGATATATTGCAGATATAACTGTTGGGACAAATAAGTTATTTACTGGTTTGTACTCATGTGCTGACAGATGATGGTTGCTTATCTGTATAAACAAGATGAAGAATCATTTTATTTTTGTTTTTATACTTAAAATGGAAGAGCTGAGGTCAAAACTATTGCTTTATAACATGGAGTATGTCAAGGCTAGGCACAGCATGAAAACTCCTGTTCTGTACAACACAGAGTAACAGAGTAGGTGTGACCTGCTATCCTCATGAACCCTGTGGTGCCTGTATAGGTGCCATTCAGGAACATAGGAGCTGTATACTGGGAGTGATGCACTGAGAAGCCCCCTTACCTGTCCTACAGCACATGGGCCTGGGAGAGGCTCATGACAGACCACACCCAGCTGAGCCCAGCCCTTCTGCAGCTCAGAATCCATTTGGGGGAGGGAAAACTCAGGTTAGGAGGAGGTAGCAGGAGAAGCTGAATGGAAATGAAGCCACCAGAACCCGAGTCCATTCCACACACTGCTCACTACGGCTTCTCAGGTGTGGGTGGCAGGACCTGGCACCCATCAGGGGTTTAGTACAGCAAACAAGTTACTTTATCTTCTGCGGTACTGCTCACGGACATAAGGAAGGAAGCATACAGCACATCTTAGATAAATTGTTAAAATAAAAGACTCATTTTAGCTCTCCGGACATTCCCAATGAAATGGCCAACCCTGGAAATCGGAGGGCTGTTCCCCTGACATTGCCCTTCAAGTGATGTGGATGGCTTGTCTAGTGTGTAGTGACCTTGCCATGCGTAGCCTTCTCAGTGGGACAGTGTGCTGGTGAGGAATTTACAAGAGCCATTATTAAGCCTGTGTACAGACTTGCAGAGATAGCCAGTCCTAGTGCAGAGGAGCAGCCTCTGGTTCCTCAGGGTTCTAGGCACCACAGCTGAGATGCTAGCACTCTCTGATGTCCTGTGTTCCCAGTTATGCCTCCTACCCTGCCCCCCAGGGGCACTTGGGCCATTTCCTTTCAGGTGTGGAGGGGCTCCTCTGCTGAGAGGCCACTTGCCTTTCCCTTAAATGCATCAGTTAGTTCAGGGTTCCGGGGCTGACAATGTAGATGGAAAACAAGCACCAGGCTCTGCCAGCTGACTTGTGCAGTGCTGGACCCACAGTTGGGCTTCTGGTCCTCACCAAGATGTAGGTAGAGTTTGGACTGTGACTTTTCCCAGTTACCTACCAGTTAGCTCCTATGACTAAATGCGTATGTTCCTTCCTGATTTTGTCTGCCTTTAAAAATCTCTTAGGTGGGGGGCTAAGACATTAGCCTTGTCTGTTACTTTGTAAAAAAATCTCATTTTGAAACACATATAGACCACAGGAAGTTGTAAAATTAGAAGTAGAGCCCTGGGCATCTTAGGTGCAGCTTCCCCAGTGGTGGCCTCTTGCATGGAGCACACTATCATACTATGCCAGCCAGGATTAGACAGCAGTGCCATTCTGCCACCTAGCCTCAGGGCCACCCAGCTTCACCAGTTTTCACCATGTACGGCTGGGCTCTGGTTGTGTCTATTTGTGTGACTCACACCAATGTCGGTTTGCACACCCACCACCCTCAGAGATGTAGCTACTCCTACTTACCCCTCCCCTGTCCCCGGCAGTCACTGTTCCGCTCGGCCTCTATAGTGGTCTCATTTTGAGAATGTTCTGTAAGTAGAATCTTCTGTGCTTTTGAGGTAGCATTTTCATAAACACAATGCCTGCAATCTGGGTAGGTGGCTCACATATTCACTCCTTTCTGTCCCCTTGTCTGGTTTTTCCAGAGTTTAACCATTCACCCATTAGAGGATGTTGGACCATGCCCAGCTTTTGCTGTTATGAGTCAGGCTGCCAATAATATTTGTGTACACTGTTTGTGTGAACACCCTTTTCCTTTCACCTTCCTTCCTCTGTCTGTTGCCAGTTCACATGTCTCGTTAGAAACTGCCAAAGCATTTCCACTCACATCACACAAGCAGTGAGTGAGAGTGGCACCCCTGTATCCTTGCCAGCATTTGGCGTTGTTGCTGTTGTTAATTTTAGCCATTCTAACGCACACACAGTGATATGTCATTGTGGGTTTAATTTGCTTTTGCTAGTCGCCAGTGATACTGAACTTCTTTTCATGTGCTTTCCCCCTTTTTAACTTGATAATTCATTTAAAGTTTATGTGTTGGTAAGTGTCCAAGAAAATTATTTTTTAAAATAGTGAGAACTTGTACTTTCCAGTCCTTAAAACATACCATAAAACTGCGTTCCGAAGAGAATGGTCTTTTTCTAGGAGCAGGAAGCTAGACTTGCAGAACAGAAGGGAGAACCCATACATAATAGATGTGCGGGGTCAGATGTATTTCTGGTCTTGGTGGGAGGGTTGCTCATTGAATGATGATGCTACACACACTGAAGTGAAAGAAAGTAAAGTTGCACACCTGACTCGTACAGTTGAAACTGAATTGTGACCACTGTTACAGAAACTTCAAAGAAGGTTCTTGGGGACATTACTCTTTGAAAAAACTTCTTATGTGGAAAATTTCAGATCTGCAGAAAAGTAAAGAAAAGGTGTAATGAGCCCAGCTTCCTGGCTGCTGTTGTAGAAGTTTGGTGCTTTTATTCTGTTGTTCTCCTCTATGCTCTCCCATCACCCCAGCCTTCTAAAGCAGATCTGAACACCTTTATCATAGTGGGACCTCAGTGGATGTTTCTCACTGGTCAGATTTTTTAAAATTTGTTTTGTTTTGTGGCTCTTGGCATCAGACCATCTAGTAGAATTAATAGTATCTCTAGAGCCAGAAGCAAAAGGATATAGTTATGTTGTTGATATACGGAAGAATATATTATGTAAAAGTTAATAGATGAAACATAGACACAAACTGGCACTGCAGTTTAAGGACTGTAAAATTTCCAATAAAAAGGCAAGTGATTGGGAGAGCTATGCTAACCCTGCACATTAGCGCAAGACCAAATGGCCTCTGAACTGATGGATGGGTGCCTAGCCTTACCCAGAGTGGGCAGGAAATGCCGATTGACCTAAGGACCGTTTTTCAGAGGATTCCGTTTTTCAGGTTGGCTACAGTGAAATGCTGAGTGACCTTGTGCTGGTTCTTTTGTGGAGTATAAGTGTTGTGGTCTCTTTACTTGGGCATCTGTCATGTTGGTTTCGATTGAAAGTGTATCTGATATTTGATCTGTTGGGCCCTGCACTCTGTAAATGTGAGGGGTGGACGGACAGTTCACATGTCTGTAGGAGAGGTTACAGTTACCTTGTTTGTAGTGATGAAAGTGTTTAGGGTTTTAGTGTTTAGGATTTAGTTTTTTAGGGTTTAGTCTATCAGGAGAAAGACTGAATAAATTGCTTTGTGTCCATATCCATATTACATGAGCTATAGTCTATTGAAGAGCTCATGAGGTACATACCAGGTAATTCTATTGTTGATCAGAATGGGGGAGCTGGACAGATGTGTGCATTGTCACTTGTGAATGGTCAGGATTCACCAGAGCTGTAGCTCACGTGGTCCAGGACCCATCCATGAGGGTAGTAGGTCTTACTGCCCTGTTCTTGATGACCTGTCACCTGACCCTATCCTCATTCTTCTGGTCTGAACTCATGCCCTTACCTGGTGGATCACCAGGTGCTCGAGCGCCTGTTCTATACCCGTGGATTCCTGAGTGCTCACCCCTTCTACATCTGTGGACCCCCTGGTGGCCACCTTGTCCTGTGGAGGGCTCTTGAGTAGGCTGGGATCTCTAGGCGAACACAGGTGTTTCTTCTGGGGAGTCCCCCACCTTTTCTGTACAGTGAGATCCAAGTATCTTCTTCCAGGTTCTCAGCTGAGGAAACAGCCAGGGCTTGCCCTGGGCTGGCTGTGGGGGCAGGTGGGCTGGGAGGGAGCTTGATGCCAGCAGTGTACTATGAGGTGAGTGGACCGTGAGAGGTGCTTTGGGTTGGTAATGTGTTTTCCCTTTTTTTCCTAGTTTGCGTTTTAATAGAGAACTTGTCACTTTCCAGAATGCCCTTTAAAGGTGACGCTGTGATCGGTAAGTGCTTTTCTTCTCAATAATGCACAGTAGCATTTTCTTACACAACTGCTTCAAGTTACAAAGTAAAAAGTAAGCCTGTTGGGATGGGTGTAGCTGAGAGGTCAGGTCATGATGTTGGAAGGCCTTGCCCTCTGCCGGCATCTAGAGGGGCCTTTCCTATCCCTTCCTCAGCACCCCCAGCTGTGACTCAGCCTGTCCTGATGCCCCTAGGGCCAGTGTTATGACCAGTTTTCTTTCCCAGATGGACAGATGAGAGCCTGGGTGACCAGAATGCTAGAGCTGAGCTGCCCCAGGCCTGCCTCTGCCCTCCAGCCTCAAGTTTCTAATTTCCTTTTTTGGCAGTACTGGGGTTTGAACTCAGGGCTTCATGGTTGCTAGTAAGGTGCTCTACTGCTTGATCCATGTCTCCAGCCTTTTTTTGCTCTGGTTATTTTTGAGATAGGTCTTGCTTCTGGTCTGGCCAGCCTAGACTTAACGATCTTTCTAGTTACACTTCCCACTGTAGTTGGGATGACAGGCACATACTACCATTCCCAGCTTTTTCTGTTGACATGGGGTCTCGTGAACTTTTTTGCCTGGGCTGAACTGAAACCCAAGTAGCTAGTATTATAGATGTGAGCCCCTGCACCCAGTTTACTAACTGAATAGAGTAAGCATTTGTTGCCAACTCATTTGTTGGATGTGGCTAAGTTGGATGTTCACATTTATATTGGTGGACAGTGGGGGAATGAAGGAGATTTAGGAAAAGATCTCTTGAAGGTTGTAGCCACACATAATGAAAGAACAGAGCTCCCAAACATGAATCTAAATACTTGGTGCACAGGAGGTGGCATTTCCCATGCTGCCGACCCTGGCCTCTCTGGGCTCCTGTACAGCCTGCAGGGCTCACTTGGGTCTCCCCAGATTCCTCCCAGAGGTGCTATCTGCTTCACAACCTAGCAGATGTGTTTGTTGCTTTAATTGTGACTATTTCTGAGTTGGATAAACTAGCATCTTTACTTCTTTGCAGATGGCTGGCAGTGGCTGATAAATGATACTCTGAGAAGTCTCCACCTCATCTCAAGCCATTCCAGACAACAGATCAAGGTACTTTGAGCAAGACTTCCATGTTTCCCTGTGTAGCAGGCATCAGTGATGCTGGTCAGTGCTCATCTCAGGTCTGTGTGTTACCAGTCCCTTCCATGCATGACAGTCGGTAAACACCATCCTGATGTTCAGATTGACTTATATTCAGAAGCCTAAGCAGCCCTGGATGACCAGAGTGTTTAGGTTTTCTTGCTGCTGTTTTCAGCCTCCCCTCTAAACTGCCCTCTGCATAGGTTAGCTGCTCAGCATCTGGTAAGTGACATATATGATGCTTGTGTGTAGCCGAGACAGCCGAGTCCAGAATCAATCATCTTTGCAGGTGGCCAGAGCATTTGTGTCCATGTCCTGGGACTCAGGTGGCTGTGAACTAGCAGAGCTGTGACACCCAAACCATTTTATGGGCAATAAGACAGTTACTGGTGTCAGCAAGTCCTACCATCAGTGATAGTGATACTAAGTGCTTTGCTATATTTCAAGTGACATCTCTGCTGTGCATCCAGTGGATGAGGGCCCTCTCTGTGATTCTGGCCACCACCCTCTCCCTCTTTAGTTCCTTTCCCCTGGGCTTCTGTGTTGGCCTTGGCTCCCTGGCTTTGGGGTGGGAGAGTAGGAAGAATCTATGAGTCCAGTGATTGCTGGGTGCTGGCTGAATGGTCAGGAAAGGCTTGCATCAAATCAGGGTCCTCTGCAACAGCAGAGGTGGGGATCTAAGGAGATGTCTACTGTACCACCAGGACCTGTTCTGTGTGGTATGGCACCACCAGGACCAGAGTTGATCCCTCATACTCCTTGCCAAGCACACCCTCCTATTCCTGATACTCTGTAGACCCTGCTTTCTCAGCTTCCATCCCTTAACTACCTACATGGCCTACTTCATCCCTGTATTCTACTAGGAAGAAAAAATGCTTCACTTTATTATGAACTATGCCATATTAGAAGATGCAAAATTTACACTATGAGGGAGAAATAACCAAGTTGTCCTTTTAGTTTATGGGTGTAGAGAGTTTAAGGTGACCAGTGCATCTGACAGATGTCAAGGAACACATGGAAAAGGAAGAACAGTGGTAAAAGGTGAAAGACTTATACAATCTGAAGAGAAACCAGAGTATGGCAGTGACCTGATTTTTTTGGGAGGCAGTATTGGGGCCTGAATTCAGGGCCTCACACTTGCTAGGTAGGTGCTCTTACCACTTGAGCCACTCCGGCAGCTATTTTAGGTCTTGAATTTATGCCTAGGGTGACTTGGACCATGATTCTCCTATCTCCCATGTAGCTGGGATGACAGGTGTGCTTCACTACACTCAGCATTTCATTGACTGAGGTGGTTTCTTGTGAGCTTTTTGCCCAGGCTGGCTTAAAACCTCAATGCTCCTATCTCCGCCTCCTGAGCAGATAGGGTTATAGGCGTGAGCCACTGTACCCAGCTTGGTTTGTTTTAAACATAGTCTCTGTGCCTGGACTTCAGAATGACCCCACTTGTAGGCAGAGCCCTGTGCACTCATGTCCTCCCATTTCAGGACGCAGCTGTCTCTGCTCTGTCTGCTCTCTGCAAAGAATACTATAGGAAGTTGCCTGGAGAGGCAGGTCCTGCCATTGAAGGTGAGTGAGTGGGCAGGGAGAGGGTGGAGCCTGAAAGCAAGGGGCGGAGCCAGGCAGTGGAAGCCCAGCTGTCTGTGCCCCTGCTGGAGTTACTCTTTCAGGACCCAGCTGATGTGACCCCATTACACAGGACCTTCACAGGGCTCCTCCTGGGCCACATGGGTTTGGAGGCCGTCATGTCCTTGGTCTGTCTGGCCAGACTAGCTGCCCGAGTAGTGATCATCTCTGGAGAAGGAGCCTTCTCCAGGCCTTCCTGCCCTCTGTGGAAGCACTCTGTTCACTTCAGCAGTGCTTCTTAAGGTCGTTTTTGAATGAACTTTTTCCAGTGGTTTGTTCTTTGGGGATTCCTATTTTATACTTGTTGGAGCTTTTTATCTTTATACTGTTTTTCTCAATCTTTCAGCCTCTTTTTTTTCTCTTCTTTTTATTCACTTTCCATGTTTCTGCTATTGGCTTCTCCTTGCTGTCTCTTTGCTTTTCACATGCTTATTTTCTTTCTTTTTTTGTTTTTTTTTGTGGTACTGGGCTTTGAACTCAGGGCCTACACCTTGAGCCACTCCGCCAGCCCATTTTTGTAAAGATTTTTTTTCATTTTCATTTTCATTTTTTATTATTCATTTATTCACATGTGCATACATTGTTTGGGTCATTTCTCCCCCTTGGCCCCCTCCCCCCTCCTCCCCCCCTCACTTCCAGGCAGAACCTGTTCTGCCCTTATCTCTAATTTTGTTGAAGAGAAGACATAAGCTTAATAAGGAAGACAAAGCGTTTTTGCTAGTTGAGTTAAAGATAGTTATACAGAGAGATTCCTAGCATTGTTTCCATGTACAAATGTATTACAACCCATGTTGATTCATCTGTAACTGATCTTCACAATGGTTTCTGATCCCCTTCTCATGTTGACCTCTGTCGCTTTAAGTTTTCTGTATTAGTTCCTCTGCAGTGGGGACATCAAACGCTTTCATGTTTTGGGTTTCCTACCTATTCCCATATCTCCCGTATGTGCTCTCTCCTTGTCATGTGATCCAAGTCCAACCACATTGCTGCATTTGCCCTAGATCTAAAGTCTGCATATGAGGGAGAACATATGATTTTTGGTCTTCT